AAAAATTATTCTTAATAAACAAAAACACACCCTAATCAATTGGAAGAAAATTGAGACACTTAAATTATTTTTCTAAATATTTTTGAAGCTTTGTTATTATTACCTTTAATTTCTTTAAATTGCAGTACATAATCCATATCTTTTAACTTTCACAAGATAAACATATTGGAAAAAAAAAGGAAAAAAAGAAAAAAGATACACGTGGCATGATGACAAGAGCATTTTGTTCAACGGAATGATCATACGAAGTATATAATTTCCTTTTTGCTAATTTCTCCAACATTTATCATTATTTCTCATACGGAATAAATTCTAAAAAATACGGCATGCACACTACTCGTATTGTTTGCAAATATAGAGGAGACAAATAATGCACGGTCTAGTAAATAGGAGTATAGGGTTGAAAATTAGTAGCACACATATTTTTGCTCTTTTCAAACATGTGTCACCTGATATGATCTCTAACTAATTTTATCAGGGTTTTGTAGCTTGACAAAATGCCTATACTTGAATTGGATTCCACTCAATTTCAAATTATTTTGGTTTTGCTTATTTAAGAAATTAAAAGAAATATTAATGTCAAACAACTGATTTAATTATATGTATAGCATTGTAGATTTTGTAGCACATGCATGATGATAAGGTTGTTTACGACGAACATGATGGATTAACATGAAAAAAGTCTCTAGAATGATGTACTGTGTTACGAGCAAATTAAATACGGTCTTTTAATTTTAACGAGTAATTACTTTATCACGAAAATTGTAAATATATGTCTTCGACCTTCCTTCGTGTTACATGTCGCTAGCTACTAGAAGAATTGTAAGGGGAGGCATCAAAGAAAAGGTTAGAAGAGCAATGAATATGGTTGGAGATGAGAGCATATTGCATTCAATTCCACTACGTGCAATCTATACCTAGCTAGCTGCTTATAATAGTTTAAATGCCATTATTGGTCACTTTTAGAGGAAATGAGAATTCAGTGTTAAAAATCAAATTAAAAAAAGAAAAAAAAGAAAAAGGAAGACAAAAACAAAAAAGAAAGAAGTGGCCACTATACACTTGAATTGCATGTATTATGGAAGATTGGAAGTATCATCAATAATAATAATAGTATTGCAATTTATTGAATTTTCTATAAATTATATTAACGTTTGTTTCTCAATCGTTTCTTTTTTGTTTTTTAAGTGCATTCATTAGAACATGAACGAATATCTTCAACTGACATTGTAATACATCACAAAACGTTTTTAAACTCATGAATAGGTTGAAAATAATTAAAGTTAGTTTTTCTAAATAGAGAATTAAACGGGATAAATAAAAATAAAGTAAGGGAATAATAGATAATGCGAATAGCTCAATAAGATTTGAAGTATCCTCCCTATTTGGTATGCTTAGTAATCAGTTGAACTTTGTTTCTTCTCAATAATACACATAACCAATTCTAATTACCTTAAATTAAAAAAAAAAAAAAAAAAAAAGTAAAAGATTGATCAAAATTTTATCAGAGAGAACACCGAAGAGGGTGACTGGGTGACATACTTGCATTAATGTGGGTCCTACAAATTGTGGTAGTACAATTATTTTATTTTAACCAAGAGCTTAAAGCCAAAAAGGCTGACAAATTACTTCGTATTAACTGAAAATAAAAACAAAATCAAAGTTGTAATAAAAATCATAATAAAATAAATAAATTAAAATAAAAAAGAGGGACAAGTAAAATAAAAATAAAAAATATAATAAAGATACTTACGTACCTTATAGCTTTTCAGTCTTACGGGCCTAGACTAGTAGAACAAATGTGTTGTTTAAAATTAATGGTACTACTAATAATACTTAAATTAATGGAAGAAGAGGCCTTTTGGCCCTAAAAACAAACCAATAATCACATTATCTATTTCATTATCTTTTTAGTCTCACCTTGACCTCGTGAGGCCGAGATCGAACCCGAATTTGAGTGGAGCTTTACTTTTTTTTTTTTTAAATTTGGTGTTATAATAATATTTATTTTGGTGCAAATGAAAGTATTATAATAAAATTAGCAATAATGTGGAATCTCCCACCCTAAATATAAAAATAATAGTTGATACTATTGGACAATGATGTATTCATCTATCCAACCTTTCCTAATCTTACGCACGCGGAAACTTATTAGTGAGACAACCGAATCCTTTGGTATGGAAATACATAAATTATTATTGTCATTTATTCAATAAGCCTACCTCAATTCCTTTTTTTTTTTTTTTTTTTTTTTTTTATATATATATATATATATTTTTTTTTTAAAGCAGCCTACCTCAATTCCTAACCCTCCGTTACTTATCATTCTTTTAAATAAATATTAGGCCAAATTAGAAAATAACACCTGCAAAAAGACCCGATTTTGTTTATAACACCTTAACATTTCGAAATTTTATTATAACACCTACAAAAATCCCAAAATTTTGGTTTCACCACCCACTAACGGATTTTTGGATGGAAACCGTTAGTGGGACACGTGTCAATTGTTTATTGGCTTAAAAATAAAAATTAATAAAAAAAAAAACCCCTAATTTTTATTTTTAAGCCAATAAACAATTGACACGTGTCCCTAGTGGGTCCCACTAACGGTTTCCATCCAAAAATCCGTTAGTGGGTGGTGAAACCAAAATTTTGGGATTTTTGTAGGTGTTATAATAAAATTTCGAAATGTTAAGGTGTTATAAACAAAATCGGGTCTTTTTGCAGGTGTTATTTTCTAATTAAGCCTAAATATTAAATAGTTTATGCATAAGTTATGTGTTTGAAAGATTTATTTTCTTTCAAATTAACTAGCTTAGAACTTTAGATTGATATGGTGTATGCCGAATTTAATTGTCCTAAAATAGTTGAAAATAATGTAAATATAATAAGATTAAAGAAGAGTGTGTACTAGTGAGCGACGTTTCCATGCAAGGGATTACAATAGAGCATGATTCAACCCATGAATTTCCTAATTAATTTTGTGATTAATATTAGAATAAACTGATAATAATTAAAATAGGTCATCATATAACAAGAAAAAAAAATGAAAAAGCTATGTATGATAGTTATTAACCAACAAATGTACTACCTCCGTTACATATTAGTTGCAACTTTGGATATTATTTGTGGGAGATAAAATATTTCAAAATTGCAACTAATATGTAACGGAGGTAGTATTATGTAAATATAAATATTACAATAAGACTGTATAATCCGGAGTAAAAATATTAAAATAAAATGGTCAATACGGGACGAAAAGTATACAAATTCTCTATTAATGTAATGAAGATGGAAAACATTAGTTATGGGACATAAATTCAAATTCTGTTCACTTCTACTTGTAGATACGTCTCATATAATCTATAAAGGCTACAACAGGTACCGATCAATGTGAGTTTGTAGCTTACAATCCATATTGGCCATTGTTGTGGACCAATTATGTCGAGGATTAGGCTTGTAATAAGTCGGGGTCTTAATCCTTGTGAAACCTTTTGTAATTGATTTAATTAACCAAAATAATATACAGTACTACATTTAATTTGTATTTAGACGAAAAAAATTTAAGAGCCTTTTTTTTCTGGTGCAAAATTTAGGAGCAAAAATATATTGATCCCAGTCAACATTAAGCACTTTATTACAAATACTTGGTATGCTACTTACCAAGACTTCTACTACAGTCTACAGTGTATTCAATTTTGTAGAATGAGAAGAAGTGTTGATATTACGTTTTTGCTATTTGGACTGTAGACCCTAATTTATGGGCAATCGTAGTTACAGTAATTAAAATAAGTTATTTACAAATTGTGTGATTATAAATAGTTCGGGAAGAAAATGACTATTAATAGAAAAGATATATACGAATTATTATTAGTATTAAATTTGTATGTACAATATGTAAAATCAGTTTGCCCTTATTTTTGACTCTACTTCGAATTTATTTTTACTCTAGTTCTCTTGCTCCGGATGAACAAGTTTGCACGCAAAAACAAGAGCAATAGAAGTAATACATGTAGATGTACAATAAAATTTGACATGGTCACAACTCACAAGGCCTAATATAAATACTTTTATGAATACTCTTTAGTATAGTCTATTATTCGTATAGTCTATTATTCGTATAGTATATTCTAATGTATGTTATGTACGCAGTATCTGTATTATTCAAAATTCAAAGCAAATACATCCTATATTGCCATCGCGTGTCTCTTCCTCATTAGTGGTGGACTGGTGGCATGGCACCACATCCTCGTAGATGACCTTAATATGTTTGTCTTGAAAAAAAAATGCTTCAATCAAGAATTGAACTCACGTTAATGTAGCAAGTTAATGAAAGTACGAGTATAAGTTATTGAACGATCTAATTTGCACATTTATTATGTGATTTTGTTTGAGCAAGACACGAGTAACTACGTTAACAAGTTTATGAAATAGGATGGGTTGAAAGGAACATGTTCTTCATCGGGTGAAAATGTTGGCTTCATCAAAGGCAAAAAAAAAAAAAGTTGGCTAAAATAGCATATTACGAGTAACTTACCAATTGAGGGCATACATCATCCTATTATGTAATATGAAAATCACAAAAGATAGATCTTTCGTCTTTTGTTATTTTTCAAAGTAAACACGACTAAAATAGGCAAGACCAATTTTTAGCTCCCCACACAATCTATATCAGATATTATGTACACTTTAACCGACAATAATACCGAACTCATGTCAAAGTGAACCACCGTTAACAAGATTAAAAGCTTACCGCCATAGCTTATTAACGTGGTAAATGTACCATTAAAGGAACAAAATAAATCCAATTAGACATCCATTTTTAGTATAAAGGGGAAAATCCTACAAAGACATTTGTTTCATGTGTTTAGTAGATTAACTTTTGAATTTTCATGTTTATTGAATGTTGTTAACTACTCTTAATAGAGAATTTTGTAGTCAAAGAAGAGTACAAGACCATAATACACAACATAGAATAAAAAGGGTAAAAATTTAGATGGCATGGCTATCTTTTTAACCGGGGACCCTTTGATGTTGACATGTGTAATTGCTTTGAGATGGATCCATGGTTACTCACACGAACACATTTTCCTTTTCTATTTTTTTTTTCTTTTTTATAAAAAAAAACCCTTGATAGACAAGACAAATAAATAAACAAACACCCCATTTTTTTTTTTAAAAAAAATAAAATAAAAAATTTAAACAATAAAATATCAATCAACCCAAAAACTAATTATTTACACCTTCCTTCCAATTACCCCATTTCACACCCAATTTTATTTTTTAAAATTTAGTTTTTTTAAGATTTATTTATTTTTAATTAATTTTTTAACAGATGAGAGAGAAAATGAAGGAGTTGCAAGAACAAATTTGTAGAGAGGGAGTATCACATGGCATGTGAGCAACAGCTGTTACCTCCACTCCTCCCCAAGTCTTCTTCTTCTCTCTCCTCTCTTAATATATACTCTTCTCTTCTTTCTTAATCCAGTCTTTTACCTCTCTTCTTTCTCTCTCCTCCCCTGTTTCTCTCTCAAGCTCTCATCTTTCTCATCAATGGCGGACTCTGAAACCCTAACAAATTAATACCCTCTTCCTATTTCTCCTTCATGATTCAGTGAACCAATCCCCAGAAAAAATGAACCTTCTTTACACCTTCTTACTACTCTTTCTCTCTCCTCCCCTGTTTTCCCCTGTTTTTTGTGCTAAAACTAGTGATTCCCAGAAATTAATGAGCTTCAAATCTTCTCTTCTTGACCCGAATACCCTCAAAAACTGGGTTGAAAACTCCGACCCGTGTCACTTCACTGGTGTTTTCTGCAACAATTCAAGAGTTACTTCTTTGGATCTCACTTCACTTTCTCTTTCTACTGATATTTCCTCTGTTTCAACTCATCTTTTTTCCATTGAACTTCTTACCTCACTTTCTCTTTCTTCCTGTAATATTTCTGGTTCTTTTGAGCAAATTTCTGTCTGTTCAGCTTCTCTCTTAGAAATTGACCTATCTCACAACTCTATTTCTGGATCTTTCTTTGATTTAGCTAGGTTATCTTCATGTTCTTCTCTTTCTTCTTTTAACATCTCCTTCAATCTTCTAGATTCTTCTAGAGATTTCAAGGGTTCTTCACCTCCTCGTTTTGGGTTACCCCTAAAAAGTTTGGATGTTTCTGGGAATCACTTATCTGGGGACCAAGTTCTTCCATGGGTGGTCTCTCAAAGTTGTGAGAAGCTTACTTACTTTGCTATAAAAGGGAATAATCTAAATGGGAGTTTTTCACTTTCAAAATGCTCAAATTTGGAGTATTTGGATATTTCATCAAATAATATCTCAGCCCCATTTCCTAATTTTGGGAAAGATTCTCCTAATTTGAAGCATATTGACATATCTTCCAATAAATTTGCTGGAAAAATAGAGGGAAATGCACTAATTGGGTGTAATAATTTGAAGTTTTTGAATATATCAAGTAATTTGTTAACTGGTGGGTTTCCCTCATTTCCTTCATCTTCAAGCTTGGAGTTTGTTTATTTGGGGAGTAATCAATTTCAAGGGGTGATTTCTGAGAGTTTTGCTGATGATTTCTGCTCAAATTTGGTGGAATTTGATGTCTCCTTCAATAATTATACTGGTATGATCCCCACTGGCTTTGAATCTTGCAAAATGTTGGAAATTTTTGATATTTCTAACAACAATTTCACTGGGGATTTGCCTGCTGATTTGTTGTTAAAAATGGGGAATTTGAAGAAATTAAACCTAGCTTTTAACAATTTTGTGGGTGTTTTGCCTGATTCCTTTTCTGTTCTTGCTAGTTTAGAATCATTGGATTTGAGCTCAAACAAAATTTCTGGGAAAATCCCATCTGGGATTTGTGAAAACCCTAGTAAATTGAAAGAACTTTATCTCCAAAATAATATGCTCACTGGTCCAATTCCTCCTACTATTGGTAATTGTTCTCAGCTAGTTTCACTTGATCTTAGTTTCAATTACCTCAATGGGAGAATCCCATCTAGTTTGGGCTTACTTACACAGTTGAAAGACTTGATTATGTGGATGAATAAGCTTCAAGGGGATATTCCTACTGAGCTTCAGCACATTCCAACACTCGAAAATCTGATTTTAGACTACAATGAGTTGACTGGTACTATCCCTTCTGGATTGATGAACTGCACAAACTTGAACTGGATTTCGCTTTCGAGTAATAGGTTGAGTGGAACTATACCATCTTGGATTGGTAGGTTGAAGAATTTGGCTATCCTTAAGCTCTCTAACAACTCATTCTACGGCGAAGTCCCACCCGAGTTGGGGGAATGCAAGAGCCTGTTGTGGTTGGATTTAAATAGCAATATGTTGAATGGGAGTATTCCTCCTGCTATAGCCAAACAGTCAGGAAAGATGGCTATTGGACTAGTTGTTGGGAAGAAGTATGTGTACCTGAGGAACTATGGAGGTAAAGGGTGTCATGGCACGGGTAATTTGCTCGAATTTGCCGGGATTAGGTCTGATGCTGTTCTTAGAATCCCTACAATGTGCAAATTTCAGCAAGTCTACCAAGGTCATACTCAGCCTAATTTTAACTACAATGGCTCTATGATTTTCCTTGACTTGTCTTACAACAATCTCCAAGGTGGCATCCCTAAGGAGCTCGGCACAATGTTCTATCTGTCGATTTTGAATTTGGGTCATAACAATCTCTCTGGTCCAATTCCTGAAGATCTTTCAGGGATGAAAAACATCGGCGTTATGGATCTTTCTCACAACCATCTCTCAGGGTCCATTCCTTCGTCTTTGGGTGGTCTTTCATTCTTGACCGAGATTGATTTGTCCAACAATGAGCTCTCCGGTATGATTCCTGAATCAGCGCAGTTTGAAACTTTCCCGGCTTCTAGATTCTTCAATAACACCGGCCTCTGCGGGTATCCCCTGCCAGCATGTGATAGAAACTCGGATGCAAATTCTTCTAATCATAAAAAGCATGGGAGACAGGCTTCTCTTGCTGGAAGTGTGGCAATGGGGTTGCTGTTCTCTTTATTCTGTATATTTGGGGTGATCATTGTTGGCATTGAGGTGAAGAAGAGGAGGAAGAAGAAGGAATCTTTACAGGATATCTACATGGATGGTAACTCACAGACGGGCAACAACACCGCGTCTGCCTGGAAATTCACCAGTAATCGCGAGGCATTGAGCATCAACCTTGCAACATTCGAGAAGCCTCTTCGGAAGCTTACTTTTGCTGATCTTCTAGAAGCCACAAATGGGTTTCATGATGACAGTATGATAGGCAAAGGTGGGTTTGGTGATGTCTATAAAGCTCAGCTCAAGGATGGCAGTGTTGTTGCTATCAAGAAGCTGATACAAATCAGTGGGCAGGGTGACCGAGAGTTCACTGCTGAAATGGAAACTATCGGGAAGATCAAACACCGCAACCTTGTGCCTCTCTTGGGTTACTGCAAAGTCGGGGAAGAGCGGTTGTTGGTGTACGAATACATGAAATATGGGTCCCTTGAAGATGTCCTACATGATCGAAGGAAGGCCGGGATCAAGCTAAATTGGGTTGCAAGGAGGAAAATCGCGATAGGGGCAGCTCGAGGGTTAGCTTTCCTTCATCATAATTGCATCCCCCACATTATTCACCGCGACATGAAATCTAGTAATGTTTTGCTGGATGAAAACTTGGAGGCAAGGGTATCTGATTTCGGGATGGCCAGACTTATGAGTGCAATGGACACTCATTTGAGTGTGAGCACATTGGCTGGTACCCCGGGTTATGTTCCACCCGAGTACTACCAAAGCTTCAGATGTTCAACCAAGGGGGATGTATATAGTTATGGTGTGGTGTTACTTGAGCTACTAACAGGGAAGCAACCTACAGATTCACCTGATTTTGGTGACAATAATCTTGTTGGTTGGGTAAAAATGCACGCAAAATTGAAAATAAGCGATGTATTTGATCCCGAGCTAACAAAAGAGGATCCGAATTTAGAAATCGAACTCTTGGAGCATCTAAAAGTCGCGTGTGCTTGCTTGGATGACCGACCGTGGAAACGGCCTACAATGATTCAAGTCATGGCAATGTTCAAGGAAATTCAAGCAGGTTCAGGTTTCGACTCAGGATCTACAATTACAGGAGACGACGGAAGTTTTACTACCATGGGCGGGAGTTTTAGCACCACAGTCGATATCCTAGATATGAGCATAAAAGAAGTCCCAGAAGGAAACTTCAAATAACATCTCCTAAAATTTTCGAATTCGCCGGAACATGAAGGTGGTAGTGTTGAAGCTCCACAAAATTTTCCTCTATACCACCACCATGGAATGGTATAAACCAAAATTTTCACTGTATGTTGTAACCATTAATGTATGTATAATCAAAGAATCCTTTTTTTTTTTTTTTTTTTTTTTTTTCATTTTATACATAGGTGGTTATTATTAACCTCCTTTTTTTTTACCTTCTTTTTTGAGGTCACTTTGTAGTTTGTACATAATGTATTAGAAGAACCTCTAGTAGGTTTTTTTTTTTTTTTTCTTAAAATGTTGTTAAAAATGTTGCTAGAATGCTAGTAGATCCGTGACCTCAGTTTGATAGTGACCAAGTGTAGCAGGCTATTTTGGCCATTTTCTTAAGAAGCACTTGATTTGTTTTTATACTTTGTTTTTTTTTTTTTTTTTTTTCCCTTTATACTTTACTGGTATATATTCCCAATACTAACTTTGAAATGTCATTATTAAATGTCCCTCTATTTTTATGTCACACTATACCATATTATATCTACCACTCTCCAATATAATAAATCTTTATGTTGTAGTAGTAGTACCACTAGTAATAAAAAGATAATTGGTCATTCCTATAAATATCTCTTCTTTTTATGCAGTTGTAATTAGTTAAATATTTTTACTGTTGAAATTCCTAGAAATTGTGGGGGTAAAATACTGGAAATAATTGAGGATGGAGGAATCACATAAATACAGTCTAAGAGAGGGGCTATGCTATGGTTGAGGTATCTGAGATATGCAGTCAAGTAAAACAAGAAAGTTAGTGTTTCACCCTTCACATGAATCAATCAATCAAAACAATAAAACAAGTGCCTTTTCCATGTAGTTGCCCTTTGCTCTGACACATCCATCTATCCTTGAGACATTACATGCTCGTACGGAGTGTTGTCTTTATATTCTGCTCTATTCGACTTTAATTTCACTTATTTTGAACGATACAGAAAATCTCAAACGATACTTGTACTCTAAATAAGTTAAGCCTTATATTTTTGAGCTTCTGAGTAGAGCAGGTGCCAACAGAGTAGACCACAATAAATCAAAAGAACAGGACCTAGATTGATATAAAATTCCTACTTGTAATAAATTTAGATAAATATAAATTTAGACAAGGATTGATAAGAACTACTCCGTACTCCATATAAGTTCAAGTAAATAAAACACACTTAAAAATTTGAAATCAAAGTTAGAATGCAATACAAGCTTATTAATTTCTACGAATGTGGCACATATCGACCCACCTTTATTTGGAATTTCTAATTAATTAGATATTTATTTGATCTACTAGAGGAAATCGTTCCTTGGGTACGAAGAGTATGTTTTCTTATTTTCCTTTATTTGGGTTTTAAAGAGATGAACATAATTTTTCCATTTATAAGTATCTTTCTTTTGCCTAGTTGTTGCATTCCGGAGTACCAATATATATTCAACAAATTTTTTAACCTTATCTTGATAATCTAATATAAGTTTCATAAAATAATAAAATAATAATAATAATAATAATAATAAAATGTATCATTTTCAACACATGGGAAAAAATTTCGTTACATTTATACCAATTTTGAAAATCTTAGCTTGCAATCTTAAAACACCATTTAATAATTTGGAAGTGGATGAAGCATTATCCAAAATCAACTAAAAGTGATGGGAAAATTGACAATTTACGCGTGCAATTGATTGGCTTCGAACGAAAGAGGAAAATTATTGAAAAATTGATGAATAAGCAAATTCTAAGCTTACATATCAAATCTAGGGTGTCACTAAAACCTAATTGTGTCCTCATCATGATGAATGCGCAATTAAAGACAAATAAATAATTCTAATTAAGTAGGTAGTTAAAGAAGTGATAATAGTTGCTTTCCTTTTTGTTTCCTTTCATTAACTAGCTAATTAATTTAATATTAATATAAAAATATAATAATATGCATGAGGATGTATCCACGCTACCTCAAATGCTTAGGAGGCTACTACGTATGGTCATGAGTGTGTACTGTTGGGATGATATGTAACAGGTGGTTTTTTTTAGAAAAATATTCGTACAACAAAAAAATAATAATTGGGTGAGTCGGACTCACAATGAGTTTAATATATCTGACATTAATAATTTAATATCGATTAGATTATTAATGTCAGATATTAGATTTCTCATGTTAGATATAAAATTATTAATGTCAGATATATTAGACTCATGGTGAGTCCGGTCTCACAAAAAACATTTTCTTCGTATAAATATAAATCATTATTACAAAGAATTGAATGTATCTAAAAACAACTACGGTTGCAACAAAAAACTTTCTGTCTCATATAACTAATTAGCTCTTAGAACATAACGTCGCTAAAGCTTTTGATGAATGATGTTTTCGTGATTGAACCGTTGTGTACTTTTTGCCTCATGAAATACATTTTTCAAAAGTTTGTCAGGTAAAAGTTCGTCCAATAATAATGTTTCTCTAATCGAAATGATAATACCATGGTTGAAATGTAATTATGTTTAATTGTTTAGGGTCATGTTTCTATAATGGACGGAAGTTTCATTAAATCTCTTTGATGAATGAATGATATCTTCGTGGTTGATATGTTACTTTTCACCTCATGAAATGCACTTTAAATACTTTGTTATGTCGTTCAACAACATTTCTTCAACTGAAATGATAATACCATGGGCAGAATGAAATTAATTTTGTATATGTCACATTTTCTCATTATGAAATTAATTATGTATAAGTCACATTTCTCATGTGGCAAAAGCTTTCAACTTGCGTCTTGATCCAAAATTAGCATATACAACTTTCAAAATATTTTATGTTATTATTTCAACCAATATGTTTAAGTACCTTGCATTACAAAATAAGAGAAAGACATTTATGTGCATAATTGATGCATAATTAAAAGCATTCAAAGTTGCCTAAACAAGAGATGAGCATGACCTTATTGGATGTGTTAATTGTTAAATTTGTCGTTTCACAACTCTTTTGAGTCGTCTTAAATTAAGTCGTAAACTAACAAATTCCCCAACTACTAGTTATACTTACGTTTAATTAGGCAATAAATCCCAAGAATTGAGAGACTTTTTTATTATTTATTTATTTATAATAAAAAATATCATTAATTAAGAGCATGGGAGAGTTGGTAAATAATTTTTCTACTAATATAATGCCAGCTAAACTTTCTAAATTTCCCACCAACTATTGGAAGCAAGTTTGTCCACGGTTGTCCGTTGTGAAAGAGAGATTTTGTATTAAATGATCTGGATTTTAAACTCCATTTTAATAGACGATAATAAAAGAAATATCTTTAAAATAAAAAATTGAAAGGTGCCATCTGTCTTATTCTAATGTACAAAATTTTCTTCAAAATGTTTGCATAAGTTGTGTTACTATACTAACTAATATAGTCATATATGAGTAGTTAATGTATAAGGCCTAAGCCGCCTAATTTGTACTATTAGGCTAATTTAGTCATATTAGACTACCTACTATTAGTATAATTCTCCTGGATCATAGAAGACTTCAAGCCCTTTCATTTCTTTTTGTTAGGGAGATCAAGCCACGTGCAATGGCAGTTGGTGTTAAGTCTTTGTAGAAGAAATTTAATCTCGTACTCATGTATTACATAATGAGATACCCTCTTATGACGAATATAATTGAGAGATTTTAAAGAATACAAGTAAGAATAACAAATTTTACGCAGTTTACTAAAGATGAGTTACTTGGTGCGCGAACAAGCAAGGAAAAAACTTTATTGATCTTGAGGATAGTACAAATTACATAATAATAGTTAGCTAGGTTAAACTATGAGGGAGTTTACATAGTACTTCCAAAAACGAAATCAAAAATAGGCCAAAATAGGGTCAAAAACCAAAAATCATAGCCCACATAGCAAATGTTGCGCCGTATATAGACCTTTTACAATAGTTATTTGAAAGAGGCTAACCGATTTAAGGCATATTCTAACATACCCTTAAATTATGACTTTATCGCACAATAATCTAGTATATTCAAACATCATAAAATATATACTTTCCCCTAAGATTATATACTTTTTAACCTAAAAAATATCAGTTTTATGAAGATCATTGTCATCTTATTATATGAAGAATGTGCATTATGTAATAAGGTCAAAAGAGAATAAAATAATAAGAATAATTAGGAGGGTCCTCCGAAAATGAAAATGTAGGCATAGGCATAGTAATCTCACAAAGTTGGGAAATCAATGGGCCAATGGCAAGCTGGTGTTGTCTGTGGGACTTACATACTTACAATTTCCTCCGTTCTTTCTTCTTTCATTCCAATAAATCTTTCATATTATTTGCTTCCATCGCTTTCATTTGCGACTTCCCCATCTATGATAATGACCCACTTTTAGTCTATCTACCTATTTTTCCACACTCTCCTACCCTCCCCCCTTCCGCCTTTCTTTATGACTTAATACGATATTAAACGTTTATTAATTCATAATTAATAGTTACATATACTAGTTCAGACTAAAAAAAATATATTTTTTTTTTCCTTGTTTTGACGGTGTTGTGAGAATACATACATTAGGGAGTGATCAAATTACCAAAAAAAAAAAAAAAGTAAAATATCACGTCTCAAAATAAAGGAGAATGAATTATTAAATAAATATGGGTTACATTAAGGAGAAAATATAACATTCCCAACTCAATTCATCAAAAATCCAACAAGTTATATGACAATTTTTTATGATAAGTATAGTACTACACGTCGTATTACTACAAAGCAAGATATAATCATAGTACGTCTTAAGTACTTAAGCAATAATTATCTATAATCCATTATGCAACGAACTTAATAATACCAACATACAACATGACAAGTATAAGACATACTCTTTTAATTATATAAAATTTTATATATTTATGGTACGAATCACAACCGTCGGATCGATCGGATGGATGGACGAGATCATATTAGGCCCTTCATGCATGCATGGTCAAACAGTTGACCGCCTGTCTTGAAGGTACCACTATCTTGTTTTATTACTAATTAAATATAATTAATCACAATTGATTTCCCTTGCATGCACGACTAAAGCTAGCTAATACTCCATTATTACAGCTATCATATAATATAATCTAAATATACACTAATTAATCTTTAATTTTAAAATGTATAAAGTGCAAGTTGATAATCAAATTTTAAATTTAAAAATTAACAGATCATGTCTCCTAAGATAAACAGGTGTATTACCAAACAAAAATCATAAACAAAGCACAAGACAAACTGATATCATAAGAAAATGTTCCCTCTTTATAGGGGCAATGGATAATTATAAAATTATTAAACCTTGGTATTAATTAAAAGTACTTTTTATAATATGATATAAATAATTTGATTATATTTTATGAAAAAAGGCC